ATGGCAGGGGTAGAAAGACCTATCTTTGTCCCTCCACCCTGTAACAAGTCTACACATTCTTCATCCACCAACTTCTAGATTTTATATTCCTTTTTTTTTATCGAGACAAGTGTCTTAGTTCATGTGAAGCAATTTCAATTCCTTGACATATCTCTTGTGGTCCAGACAGCCAGAACCAATTCCCTCCAAGTTTACTCGATTTTTCTCCAATCGAGAAAGAAATTTCAAATTATCGAAGAATATTTAGGAAAAGATAGATTTTAGCATCATATGCATTTGTCAAACCATATCTCTATACCAAACTAGTGCTGCAAATAACATAAATCTAACAGTTGACAACTTATATATCTTGTAGATCCTGTCGAAAGGTCACAACAGATCAAAAAGGAAACTTTTCGGCTTTAATAGTGAGATCTAACAACTATATAAACCTCCCTAAACCATTCATCAAAATTATCAGCACCAGCACACCATTTCTTGAGCTTCAAATTCTACGTCTATACGAGAAACTCAGTAGCTCAATTCCTTCATTTCTTTTTAAGGTGAGGCGTCGGTCATGTCTTTTCCTTGTGTAGTTCATTTACTTATCTTACATTGGAACTAAACTTCCTCTTTTTGCAGCTTCCACACACACAAAAAAAACTGATGTCTTTGATGCAAGTTTAATGTGCCGCGGAGTTTCCTTTTAGAATGAAATAACTGTACTTCTCAGTAATGAAAGTTTGTTCACTTTCAAGTTTCAAAAACTGTTTTTGTTGGGTGGTTTAATGATAATACACCCTCCGTTTCATCTGTTTATCTTACGTTCCTTTATAAGTCTGTTTAATAGAAGAATATACCTTTCCTCTTTTGGTAACTCTTTAATTCTTACTTTCCGCAAAACATGTGTAAGACCGCAAGATTAAAGGACATTTCGATACGTTTTACATATCTTTAGCTTTCTTTACTTTCTTAAACACAGCGTAAAGTCAAAAACCAGACAAAGAAATTGAAACGGAGTGAGTATTATATAGCTTTAATAAATGTGAAGGGTTATGTTTTACTTATGTACAGAAGGATCAGATATTAGATTCACAGAACTAAATTAGTTCCTTTAAGCATCAACTCTCAATTATTACAGAAATAAGAATCTGATGCTTGACTTTTATAAGTGAGCCAAAATGAAGTAACTCATATTCCACCTTTTCTCTTCTTCTTTTTTTCTTCAACTCTCAAAACTCATTTCCATTTCCACACTAATCTGCAACATTTTCAATGTTAGGCCGATAATCGATCTAGCATTATGCTTGGCTACATCAACGTGCAAAGGCGGTCACACTCAACACGAGTAATCTTATATACATGGAAGTACATTCACATTTAGGAGTACAAACCTCATTACTAGAAGACTAGGCAGATCTATGTAACTACGTTTTGCTCGAATTATATATAAAGAATGAAAATAAATTGTATGCATGTACTAAACAATACTCGTTTTTTGGGGAGAAAAGCAACCCCAACCAGAAGTGAACTAGCCATAAGTATGCAAGTGAAAAGGCACTAACATGTCAACAAATATTATACTTCAAACCAACAGTTCCAAAAATGCAACGTAACCAACGATAAGGAACTTAAAGATAAAGTCCTTCTCAAGTTTAAATCATGAATCCGCCTCTCCATGCAGTAATAATCCATTATTTCGGGAAAGTTACACATTTCATGCAAATTAACTTAGATAAGTGTCTCAGCTCATGTGAAGTAGTTGCGGTTTCATGGCATATCTCCTGTGGACCAGACAGCCAGAACCAATTCATGTTAATCATGTCTTTCTTTCAAATATCTCTGTCAATAAAAGTCAATTTCCGTTTAAAAATCACTGTTTTAGTCCGTCTAATTAAGATTCTATTCCCTAAATTTTCTATATCGCGAAAAAAAGTTCAAATTATTGAAGAATATTTAGGAAAAGTGAGATGTTAGCATTAAATGCATGAATTTAACAGTTGACAACTTTTGAAAAACATATATCTGTACACTCAAGAAGGAAGGTTTATCCAAGTATTTTTTTTTTTGTTCTATCTTGTGGATCCCATTTAAGGAAACTGTCTAAAGATCAAATAGGAAACTTTGGGGCCCCAATAGTGAGACTTTCCAACTATATAAACCTCCCAAACCAAACATCAAAATCTACCAACTCCAGCAAATCATTTCTTGAGCTTCACGTTTATAACGTGTAGTCGACAAGCTCAAGTCTTCAAATCCTTCATTTGTTTTAGGTAAAGTTCATTTCTTTATCTCAGATTGGAACTAAACTCTTACTATCTCCTATTATGCTTCTTGTATGAAAAAATTTTCTCATCGTCTTTTCATGTTTACTAGTTCAGATTTCAAGAAAAGAAGATCATGAGTAGGGAAGGAGATTGGATGTGTTCTGCATGCCAACACCTAAATTTCAAGAAACGAGATGCATGTCAACGATGTAGCTGTCCTAAATACGCAACATCGGCTGATGTTGCTATGTATGGACTAAGCAAAACAGATGTTCTTGCTGGAGATTGGTATTGCAGTGCCATGAATTGTGGTTCTCACAACTATGCAAGCAGAACAAGTTGTTATCGATGCGGTTCATCAAAAAGTGATTATTATGGTATGGGGGTAGGAATGATGGCACCAGCAGGTTATGGATATGATGCAAGTGCTATTCCTGGTTGGAAAAGTGGTGATTGGATTTGCAGCAGGTTAGTTGTCTTTAACTTCGACTTTATGAATCCTCATTATTCATGTCCTTCCGTTTAAGTCCAAATCTTTACGTGACTTGTTCCTTCTTGATCGACAGATTAGGATGTGGTATGCACAACTATGCCAGTAGAGCTGAATGTTATAAATGCAAGACACCTAGAGATTTTGGTGAGCCATCTGCCATATGATTCTGGTACTGCATAGTCGACGTTTTACTTTCCAACATCACTTTTCATTCACTAACATCTCGTTCATTTCTCTGTTTCTCAGGAGGTGACATGAGAGAGAGTGAGTTATATTGAAAGCCGCGGCAATATGAAGTTTGTTTCTTTAGATTAGTTTCTCAAAGAAGGGTTTAATTTCTAATTGCATTGTAACTATGCAATTGTTCTAATGAATGAAATCCCTTCAAGATTTTGCATTCTTTCTGTTTCAACATCTGCTTTTACTTCGGGTGCTCCAACGAATCATATTATCGGAACTTAACAGTCCAACAAGAAAAAAGGAAGTTGAAATTACATAAGAATCAGATATTAGATTCATAGAATATTTGAGTGATTTCTCTCTAAAGGAACAAAATTAGTTCCTTTAAGCATCAACTCTCAATTATCATACACAGATAAGAACCAGATGCTTTAACTTTTATTAGTGAGCCAATTTCACTTTTTCTCTTTTCTTTGTCTCAAACTCATTTCCATCTCCATACTAATCGGGAACATTTCCGAGTTAGTCATTTCATCATTGTTGAGCTAAGTCCATATAATTTCAATGCAACTACAAAGTCGGGTTCTGGAAAGGGTAGTGTGTGTCTAGATAGACCCTTTTATAGACCCTCGGCTCTCAAGGAAGCATAAGCCAAAGTAGTCTAGAAAAAGAAGTAACGAAAGTACAAGAAACAACAGATAATTATAACAACAACTTGAATGTAACTAATTAGTGGAAACCCCATTTGAGGGTTCGTAAGTTCGTTGCAACTTAAGAGACGAGAATGAGCCAAGAACTATTCGAAATCACACTAATAAAGATTGGATTTTGACCGATTATAACTTAGCAGTAAGCTTGGCTTCATTGGAAACAGGATCATGTACATTAACCAGCAGGACCAACTACATACTTATATTTAGAGCTCAATATAAAATCGTATTTAATACAAAACTCATTCGGATAAGGAAAAACTCGAGAGGTTGTTTCTATCAGAGTTATTGAGTTACTGAATAAGAATATGGAATTGATTCTTGTTACATTATTTCTAAAACATTATCCGTCTTAGGGATTGTGGGGGAGGGGGCGTGAAAAGAACAGTCGGGAATTCAACCACAAACAAGAGATGAGGGGTAGGAGGTGAGTAAAGCAATCAGTACAAAGTCAACCACAGGTTAGCATTTTCAATAGAACCTACAGGTGCTTTCGTATCGAGTCTATATATATGTGTGCATTTGTAGACACGTAAGACAAGTACGTGTAGATTTAGATATACATTTCAGAACTCACGTCCACCACACGAACATTTTCAAGATGAACCATACATATACATGTAAAAAATCACGAAGAACGTCAACAACCATTAAGCAATAAGTACCTTAAAGATAAAACTTATCAACTTTAAACCTTGAATCCGCAGCTCCAAAAAATTCTACTCCTACATTTCCATATAGGAATAATCCATTATTTTGCAAAGGTTCACATTCCATGTAAAATTAATTATATTCCTTTTTTACAAGTGTTTTAGTTCCATGGCATATCTCCTAGTGTCCAAACAGCTAGAACCTATTCTTAATCAATATCTTTGTCAATAAAAAGTCAATTTTCTGTTAAAAAATCAAATTTTTAAGTCTGTTTTAGGATTCTATTCCCTATTTTTTTTTTCAAATTATTGAAGAATATTTAGGAAAAAAGAGATGTTAGCATCATATGCATTTGTCAACTCTTCAAGGTTTTATCCAAATTTTTTCTTCAAAATTTATAAACATCATCATGTTTGTTGTGGATCCCATTTAAGGAAACTGTCTATAATTCAAAAGGAACTTCTTTTGGCCCCAATAATGAGATCTTCAAGTTTTTACGTCTAGTCGAGAAGCTCAGTTTGTCTAATCTGTAACATCTCTTAAGGTGAGACACATTTATAATGTTTTTGTCCTTGTGTAGTTCATTTCATTATCTTTGGTTAGAATCAAATTTCGTATCCTTCTGGATTCTACATAAAAAAGCTTCAGTCTTTCATGAATGTTTTTCGAAAAACTTAAGCCTTTAAGATTGATGTTGAATTCAGGTTTCAAGGACAGAATATGAACAGGGAAGGGGATTGGATGTGTGTTGCATGCCAGCACGTAAATTTCAAGAAACGTGATGGATGCCAACGATGTAGCTGTCCTAAATATGCAACGTCAGCTGACGTTGCAATGTATGGACTAAACATAACAGATGTATGGACTAAACATAACAGATTGCTGAAATTTGATCGGCTACATGAATCCTCATTTTCCATATCTCTCCCCTTAAGGTAGCCCCGTGCATTAAGCTCCCACAATTCGTAGGATCTAGAAAATGACCAAACCATATAGCCTATAGAGTCTTATGTATGCAGCCTCACCTTCCACAGATTGAACTCGTGATGTCCTAGTCACATTGCGGAATATGTTACTGTTGCACCAAGGGCTCCCCTTCACCAAAAGTGAGAAGTAGTACTAGAAGTCCTCGATATTTACTACGAGCATATAACATAACTTCCTTCTTGATCTACAGAATAGGATGTGGTATGCACAACTATGCTAGTAGAGCTGAATGTTACAAGTGCAAGACACCTATGGATTCTGGTGAGACATCTGAATTAGTCGACGTTTTACTTTCCAACACCATTTTTCATTTACTATAACATTCTGTTCTGTTTTTTCAGGATGAGGGACGCCGCGATATTAAGTTTTTGTTGAAGATTTACCTTCTGAGACTTAACTACATTGTATCTGTGACACTGTTACATAGTGTGTTCTAATGAATGAAATTCCTTCAGATTTTGCTTTCTTTCTGTGTAATCTTGACAATCAATCAATGTTGTTTAGGCCTATAAAGAAAGCACTAGCTATGCTGCTCGCGGACTCTTCAAAGGTATCGATGGGATCCTCCAAAAGCAGTACTCCCGTTGTTTCAATTTGTTTGTCCTCCTTGGTTTGTAATCCGTTTTGGTACATGCATTTGATATATTTTTAGTTTAAGACAACAAGATACTATTTGTCTTGTTAACTTTCTTTAAATTTCACGTCAAATCAAAATATGACAAACAACTGAAATCAAGGCTAGTATATTTTTATAGGATCTGACGATACGAGCGCGGCAACATAAAAAAAATTAGGAGAAACAACACTAAGGATTAGATATTGGATTCATAGAATATTTATGAATAGTTGCATTCAAAGGGAACAAAATTAATTCATTTTTAAGCATCAACTCTTAATTATAACATAGATAAGAACTTGATCCTTTGCTTTTATGAGCACACTAGTATATGGACACGTGCGTTGCACGTTTACTTCATAACAATGAATAAAATGATAAACAATTTAACTTTTTAAAAAATGTTTGTAATATATAATTAACTTGAAGAATTTTTTTTACATTTAGTCCTCCCTTTATTATAATTTTGATATATAAATTATATATTTGTTTTAAAAGATAAAATAAAGTAGCAAAAACAAAAATGGAGGCACACTATCTTATGATTAACTTTCTTAGAATGTCTTTTTTGTCTCATAAAAATGTTGAAATTAAATTAATATTTATACATTTCAAGAAGATAAAATGTTTGACATTAATTCGTAAAAGATGAAATTCTCCTTCTCATTAAGTAGAATGCAATTAAGTAATTAAAATTTATAAATAAAAAACTTATTAGAAGAAAATAACTAAGATTTAAAGTGCAATGATTGATATTTACATTATGTAATTATACAAATAAAATATTAATATTTAATTAAATAAATCAGATTTTAATTTAATGGAGAGTCAAAATGATAATATTAGTATTCTTACAATTAAAAGTTTGTTGAAATATATTTTACATTTTTTTGTTAAAAAAATAATAGGAGCAATATTTGGTCAAAGGATAAAAAGATCTTCTAACTTCTTAAGCATTTTGGTGTATCATTTTTTCGACTTTTGAAATTTGGATCTCATGATAATTTTAATGAAAATTGTCGAAAAACTATAGATTTTATCCACAAGCACATGTAAGAATGATTCTTTACAAATATTTAAAATTTAAAATGCAAAAATATAATTATTAATATTTGGAATTAGAATATCTTGTAAGCATTAATTGTTCTGCATGTCTTATACACTATTTTTATGATTGTATTTGTCTCATTTTCTAAAGCAAAAAATACACCCTTCAATTAAATATATTCTTAAAATAAAATTACAAATACAAAGAAAAAAGTATCATATATCGGAGCAAGTTTAGCATAACGCAACCAACGAAAAATAGAAAAATGCTAAGACAATCTTTTTTCTGTTTTTTCTTGATAATGCAAATTGAAAAAAAGTTATAGTAATAAACATTCAACTTTTGACCATAAAAAATTAAAATATTTGGAAGACAAGTTAATGGAAGTGATATTCAACTACATAAATGGAGGGGTCTTACCATAGTTCTGATCTTGACAAATAAGTAAAAATAAATAAATACATCAAGCTTCGATATTTTAATAATTAACATTCATTCCTATAATCACATTATGCTTTGTAATTTTGACACAAATCCTCTTGCCTTGAAATTTTCTTCACTTGATTAAAACTTCTCTAGTCTTCCACACACAAAAATTGTATCACATGTAAATCTTTCTATAAAAATAATATTAAAAGATTGTATTTATAGGAAAAAGATATAGTTTTGGAATATGAAGATTAACTTACAAAGTTGAAAGGTCAAGTGTTACAGGAATTAAAGACAAATATTAATTAAGAACATAAATTAATCTAGAAGCTAAACCATATACATGTATCTATTAAAGGGTAAATATTTAAAGAAGATAAATTGAATTAGATATTTTAATTAAGAATTAATCTAAAGAAGTGCAAAAGTCATTAACATTTCTATTAAAATAATATAATTAAATATTTAAATTAAATAACTAAATATTTTTATATCATTTTAATTTATAATAAGGGTAAAATCGTAATTCAACTTTTAACTTTTTTGGTTCCCTCTTATAATAATATATAATATAAAACGACGTTAGGAGCGGAATCTTAGTAACTCAATTGGTTGATTATCTGAAATCACATTTTATTGGTAAGGGTTCGATTCCTCACATTGTAATCCCCATCTTGTTTCTGTTAAAATTAGAAATAACAAAAAAAAAAACAATGTTATGCATGAATGATTTTAGACAAACCATAAATATACACATGAAAATGTCAACAAATATTAAAATTTGATCAATAAATACAATAGTTTCGATCTTTATCGAAATCATCAAATTCAAATCCTAGATTCATGTCTGGCTCAATATAATAGTTTTTTTTTGTTCCAACCGATATCTGGCATCTCCATTTCAATCTTGACTAGTCCTGATTCACGTAAGACTTATTAATATTTTTTCCATACGCAAATTAGCTCAAACCCGAGACCATTAAAATTGAAGAATGCATATCCATACCACCACAATCCTCGATACGGCTCTAATACATTTCCATGCATGTAGGAATAATTTTTATATCTTCAATGTTTTTCTTGACATAATATCTCGAGATCTTCCCAATTTAATTTGTTTAATTGGTGTACACTTTGTTGTCACATATATTTTTGTTCATGTAAAACTTTTAAATAATAATATATTATTATAATTATTTTACCTTTTTAAAGCTCATTGGCTTTTTTGGATCATTTATTTATTGGTACCAAATTTGTACAAAAAATATGTTTGAAAATCTACATTAGGCTAAATATAGTGGTGTTACACCCACATTCACGTATGAGAACATTTTACTATCTTTTTAAATTAATTAAATCAAAATGAATATTGACTAAGTGTTTATAATATCGATTCTAAAAAAATTTTACTACGATATATATCGAGAGTTTTATATTTAGTAAAAGAATTGAATAAATTGAAGGTAATTACTTCTATATATGTAGTTTTTGATCATAGCCACCCACCCAAAAAATAATAAGTGATGCAAACTTTTAAAACTTCTCTTAGTTTAAGTTATTGTACATTGAATCTAAATTGATTTGAATCTGGATTAATTGAATCAATTGATTTGTCGATAATTAATTTTCTACTAAAACATGACGAAAAAGCACAAGTAATAACCCAAAAAATCATAAAATTTATTATGTTGCAACATAATTTGCAATTATAGTATATATGATTAATCAATCGCTTGATTGTCGAAGAATCTTTCATTTCGCGATAGAGTTCGAAGTTGAAATTTAAAAGTAGAAAACTTTGAGTTTTTGAAATTGTGGGTTTTATAACCTAAAGTTGTGTGACATGCATTTTACAATAGTGAGGAATCGAATCCTCATCGACAAAATAAAAATTCAACTAATCAATCAACTAACCTATTAAGATTTACTAAAGTTTCAAAACCTAAAAACAAGTAACTTGAATATATTTTTAAAGACCGGAATAAAAAATTCTTTCAAACTCTATAGTCAAACATACGTTTAAAGATTATTATTTAAAATTTTAATCCAAAAATTTAGTCAAAAAATAAATTAAATTCAAAAATTTTAGTCAAAAAAAAAATTAAATTCGAAAAATTTAGTCAAAAAATAAATTAATTTCAAAAAATTTAGTCATTTTACAATTTTATCTAAAAATTTTATAGTCAAAAATGCATTTAAAGAAAAAAAAAATTAAAAATACACCGTCAAACTTAATCATCATTATTTACTTACAAGTCCTTTAACATAAAAATATCTCTATTTCTAACCTAATATTTACATCGATACAAACTAGAACTAATCGAACCAGTAGTTATCAGTAGTTTTTCATAACAGGTTAAAATGAAAATAAAAATTAAAGGGATAGTAAATGCAACATGTCCAAAAATACAAGGACCTATATTGCAAATAATGCAACTTATAAAACAAAAAAAAACCCAGAAAGCGTTAGCTTCTGTAAAAAAAATTTGAGCATCATCATCACCTTCATACCCCACCCTATACAGTTGTTGTATGTATATGTGTATCTATAGGTATATATATACATATATATAGATACACATTCATTGTTGAGGGTTTGGAATTTGATCGAGTTATAGAACCTCAATGTTTTCAGAATTTTGAAAATTTTCTTTTTTTGTTCGTCTGGTTTTTTTTTTTGGGGAGAAAACAATGGAGGAAGAATTTAAGAAGCGGTTTACTGATTGTGTGTATTTTTTAGCATCTCCCCTCACTTGTAAGAAGGTATAGCTCTCTCTTTTTTCATCTGCATTTGTCGAAATTTTCGATTTTTTGGGTGAAAAAATGGTGGATGAACGTATTTTTTTGTGTGAATTTCTATATGGGTGTTTGTTTAGCTCGTTGATTATCTGCATTTCTAATCTGGGTTTCAATTTGTTTTTGGTTTATGTAACTGTTGAAGAATTGGTGGGAAAAAAATGGTGGATGAATGCATTTTGTGTTCATTTTTATATGGGTGTTTGTTTAGCTTGTTGATTATGTGTTACGTCGGGGAACGTTAGTAGTTCAGTTGATTGGATACCTGAATTGTTAGTTTGTTGGTGAGGGTTCGATTCTTCACCTGGTAAACTCTTTCCTGTTTTCCCCTTACCCTACCCCCCAACCTTTTTTTTGAAGAAAAAAATATGTTTTTTGTGTCATTCTACTAAGTATATGTTAATGCTGATGTAATGTATATGTTAAAACTTTGTGTCAAGTAAACAAGTCGTATGAAATTTGAATTAGAGTGTGTGTGTGCACGTATCGTGTTAGATGTGTGTTTTTCAGGATTAGGGTGCATTGATTTGTTGGATTTTTGTTTTATGATGGAACGGTTAAATGGATTTGGGTGTTATGTTAAGTTTTTTTAATAAAGTGAGTCGATGATCGTGTTGTGGTTTGCTGAAGTTGTGAATTCAGTTGATTGTCTTCATTTAGTTTGTTGTATTGGTGCTGTTTCTTTGTTTTAAGTTATTATTGTGTTTAATTGTTTCTCTATTTATAGTTTTAGTTTTTCAATTCAACTCTAGTAGATTAGGTTAAGAGATGATGGAATAACAACAATCGGAGTAATAGGTCTCAATGCAATGAACATTTATATTATTGTTTTAATTATGTCATACCTGTATTGGTAATCTTAGGTGTTTTTGTTAGCTTTGCGTTGTGATTGTCATTGTGCCTGACTCCGGGTTTTCCACATGTATAATTGTGTTTGTGTGTGTCTTGTCTCATTGTTTCAAGTATTGTTTCTAAGAATCTGGTTTTGTGATATGGATTTTTGTTCCAGGGAATGGAATGTGAATATCGACATAGTGAGATGGCAAGGCTCAATCCCAGGGATTGCTGGTACTGGGTGGCTGGAAGCTGTCTTAACCCAACATGTGCTTTTCGACATCCGGTAAGTACAAACCTGTCATAGTTTGAAATTGATAGTTGTGCTGATTTTGATATTATTATTACTGCAAAAATGCAACAAAATAAAATATGCTTTTGATTTGGCTAGAATATTTCTCTCTACTTAAAATAGTTTGAGTTCAGATATGTTTAAACTGTTTCATATATCAGAATTTAAGAATATTAGTGTTAGTCTATAGGGTCGGATAATTACAACTCGGCTAGAGTCTGCCTAAGCTCTAGAATAGTAGAATTGAATATTGTGTTTGTCTCTATCTCCTCTTTCCATGAAAACGTGATATCATCCAAAGAAGCACGTTTCCTACTTCGTGAGTCAAGAAATATAGATCTCCACTAATAATTAGCGGCTCCTCAAGGCCTTTGTCTGCAAAGAAAGCGAGATATCTTCTTGTTAAACACTTTTCTTATCAGTAGGAGTCCAAAAATATAGATCTCCACTAAAATTTACTGGCTACTCGTGACTTGTTTGTGTCAGCCAAATCCATGGTAACCATTTCTTGCTGAAGTTTTAAGTTTTTTAACAAGCCTAAAGCGCAAGGTCCAAATTCTTTTCCTGAAAAGTGTACAGTGCAACATTCTTTAGGAGTAGCGTGGATATCTGAAACCTCAGGCTCCTCGAAATGCACAAATCTCTGATTTAACTAACAATCTGTGCAATTTCTGAAGGTGTATGTGTTCAATGTCTTGTATTATTCTCTAATAAATGCTCATATTAATTCTTCTCATGGAACAGAAAGAGGGGGGGTTGTAAATGTGTTAAGTACCTTGTGACTGGTTAATGAGGAGGGATGGCTTAGTTGAAACGACCACCCACCTTCAACCATGAGGTTAGGGATTCAAGTCACCAAGGGAGCAAAATGGATAAAGGTCAGTGTTGGGCAGGGTGGTTCGGGAGGTGGATTTACGATACTCCAAGAAAACAATGAAAAGTATTTGGTAAGTGGTTGTTAGATCTTCCACTGTCTGAAGGTTTTTGTGACAATGTCATGGATTACTTAAGGACCTAGTAAACAAGAAATTACATGGTTTAAAGCAAATATATGTCTGACCTTTCATTTCCTTTTTTTCTGATTTGACTTAAATTGATTCTTGAACTTGTTATTTTAAATTCTTTGGACGTGCTAATTTTTCTCTGTCCATTTTCTCAGCCATTAGAGAGCCATGCTGAGAAGTCATCTGAATTGGCTCCTCAACCCAACAAATCTGTTGTGCCTGTTAACAAGACAAATATGCCTTGTTACTTCTATTTCAGTGGCTATTGCAATAAAGGTGAAAGATGTGCATATCTGCATGGACCTGATGATGGTGCAACTGCATGGAAATCCTCAAAAGTAGCTTCTGAGGTCCCTGATGAACCAACAGCTGAGATGAAGAAGACATTTGCAGGAAGTGAAACTGATCTTTCAGCAGTCGAGAGACATCCGAATTCTTCAGAAATGGGGCCCAAGGAAGCAGCACATGAATATGTCAACTCAAAAGTGGATGTTCCTTTGATCACTAATAATGTTGGTGAGCAGAGTGCTTCTCATGAGACGTCAGAATCTCCTTCTGAAGAAGCTGCTGCAGTCGGGTTAGTTCCGTTTGTTCATGCTGAAGGCCTTACCCAAGGAGGATCCTATTTGTCCCCCAACCAGAGCTCAGATGAAGAAGTGGAGGACAACGTGGAGAGAGAGGAGTGGTTAGAATCATCTCCCGGTTTTGATGTTCTTGTTGATGATAGATTAGTAGGTTTGAGTCACGAAGATGAACATAATTATCTGATGCATCATGATATGGAAGACAGGGAGCTTGACGAACGGTTCACTGGGTATGATTTTGAGAACCACCTCGAGTATGATCCTGCATATCCAGATATAGGAATTGTGTCCGACGTAGAACAGAAAACTTCTTATTATAACTTTGAGAATCATGAAATGAATGAACGCGTCGGAGAATTTCTTATCCCTGCTCATGGAAGAGAGAGGGTATCTCGTAAAAGAGAATTGCCTAGAGAACTGGCTTTTCGCGGCAGAGACAATGTTGACCTCCGGGACCTTCTGAAGAAGCGACGAGCCCATGAAAGTGATTCTCCAGATCACTTGTCTAGAAGGTTTGACCTGTCTAGGTCGAATGTCCATGAGCAAGGCAGCAGGGATAGGCATCGTCCACAGGGTTCCCGGTGGATACCTCAAAGAAGGGCTTCAAAAGTGGAAAGCAATGTTTCTTTCTCCCCCAGGTTTTCGAACCGCACTCGTCTGGAGGGTGCCAATCGGCTGAAAAGGTTGAGACAGTCTCAAGGAAGCAGTTACAGACAGCAGCATTTCAAGGACAGGAGACAGGGCGAGTCGCGACCTTTTGCAAATGAACCCCCTAGGAGGAGGATGGATTCTAGGAAGAGACTGACTGACATTCCAGAGACAGAGACGTTTAGTGCACCCAAGACTCTAGCTCAGATTAGAGAAGAAAAGAGGAGAGGAAGAGAATATGCTAATTCACTTGAGGGAACTGGTCCATCTGGAGGAAGTGAAAAAGAAGACTTTTCAGGTCCAAAGCCTCTCAGTGAAATCCTCAAAGACAAAAGAAGGCTGAGCTCAGTAGTGAGCCATTAGTAGACTCTATAAGGTTTTGATAAAATCTTAGTTTTGGAAAAACTTTAACTGTAGCTTGGTGAAAAGTTCTGTACAATTTTCTGGATTAGCTTTTGAAACTTTACAACTTTTTAAAACAGGTACATTGGAAAATAGCCTTCTTGCTATGAAAATGCATATTGCATACTCTGATTAATCTCTTTCAACAGATAGACACTATCGGGAACAACCTCTCTGCCTTCCAATATAGGGGCATAAGGTCTGCATTTACACTACACTATCCAGACCTCTCTTGTGGGATCAGATTGGTATGTCGTTGTGTGTATACACTACTCTCCTGAAACCCGCTGCATATATTATGTGTGTTTCTATATTTACTTGTGTTATCAAGGTAAGGGCTAAGGTCACTGTATACGCTATCCTCTTCAGACCCCACTTGTGGGATTAGACGGATATGTTGTTGTGTATACACACTACCTTCGTCATACTCCACTGCATGTATTACGTGTGTTTTCTATATTTACTAACGTATTATCAAGGTACGGTGTAAGGTTCGCATACACACTTTTTCAGATATTGTGTTATGTTACACACTATCCTTTTCAGACTCCCACTATATATATTTTGTATGTTTCTATATCTACTTGTGTTATCAATAGTCAATTCTTGATCATCGTCATCATTGAGATTCGTGTCAATTCGAATTAATATTTAGATATAGATATAGATTTACCTCTCTTTGTTCTTCTTTCAAACAAATATAATAATAAATGTTTATCCATTATGAATCTGTTAGGTCTATTTCTATTAATTTGGTTGAATTAGTCAAACTTATAATATGTTAAGAAGATAGTATCTAAGATTTGTAGGTTAATATACATCATATTATTTTGAAGAATTAGCATAGTTGCATAATTTTAAAAACTTCCCTAAAATAATAAAATCGATCAATCTGAAAAAATCAGGATAAATAATTATTGTATTTATTACTTAATAAATTTTTTTCATGAATGCTAATTTTGTATTCAAAGATGGCTGCTATTTTAATACTCTAATTTAGACCCTCAATTAACTTTTATTTCCTCAAAATTGGTTTACTACCTTCATATTCAACATATTGTCCTTTTTGAGTTGGGAGTTTTTATTCGTGTATTTGATAAACGTTTTGAATATGATTAAATTTAAATGTATGCACTGCATAACCTATTTATCATTTTTAAAAGCTTAAATTCGAGATGTCTAAATTTAATTACTAGTCTAAATCAAATTATCCAATTATAATGTATTACCAAATCCAAACTTTGACTCTGCAAGTGTGTGTATGTTTAAACAATTTAGGTATCATTTGGCAGAAGGTGTTATTATAGAAAATGATGCAAGTATTAGTTTTGGTTACCAACTATTTTGTTTGGTACGTATAACTAATTAGAGTTACGTAGATATAAGTAATGTAGGGATAAAGTTATCGACGAAATTTATGTATTATTTTTGTGCAGATTTTAGTTATTTATGTACGTCACCTTTTAATTTTGCACAAAATAATACATAGATTTCCTCGTAGCCTACGCATATATTAGTTATGTAGATTTTTAAATTGCAAAACAAACACCTATAATATTAGTTATCCATGATTTAATACATGTTTTAAGCGATCGTTTGATAATTGATTTTCATATGAGTTATGCATAAATAAATTTTATACTATCAGATCACCCTTAGTTACAAATAATTATCCATAAAAATGAATTAATAACATATCTACTATGTACAATTTGTTAAAAGTACACTTTCTTTTTAATATATGAAGGAATATGGAGGTAAATAGTATACTAATTATGTAAAAATTATATCAATTTAGAGTTTATATATAAGTTAAATCTTTAAAACATATAAATCGTATAAATTATTTTCCTCTTGGTCAAATTTATAATCCGCATTAATAATTTGTCTTTCTATATTTTCCCTAAAAATATAAATTACAATATCAATATATAGAACAATTTTTTGAGTGTACGCAATAATTTTAACACTATAACATGTGATATTCATTTATATTATGATCACGTCATTGTCCAAACTTAATATCTTATTTCTTGTTAATATATATCAATGGTTAAACCTAATTCAACAAAATGAAATATCCAAAAAAAATTATTACACTATATTTTTTTTATTTTTCATCTGATGTCCGAAATCCACATCGAAGGATTAAGAATGAAGCACTTCTACCGATTCACGACGTTCATAAACTAAACTATATAAATATAGTGTAACTTATGATTTTATATAGAGACTAGAGTGTCAAATCTTCAAAACCATATCACAAAATTTCAAAGGGCAAAATAGTAATATCAAAAAACACACTATACAAAATAAGATATGATTAAAAAAAAATTATTTTTATATATATGATCACATCATTGTCCAACTAATCTTTTCATATATTATTTCTTGTTTTTGTATATATCAAGATATTGAACAACTATTTTGACTCAATTTCATATAGATCAAGAAGAAGAAGAAGGAAAAAGAAAAATTTAGACTAGAGTTTTTATATGGGTGATCAACCATCTATTGGAGAAATGTTACCAAGATCAGAAATTTCGTTTAGAAGACAAGGTTCGTCAGGTTTAATATGGGACGATAAATTATTATCTGGAGAACTCAATAAAATTGATAATCAAGAAGGCGTACAAGAGAAGAAAAAAGAAAAAAAATCGTCAGAGCCCAAACCTATTAAATCTCGAGCTACAGATAACTACATGCAACCGTCCATAGATCCTCCATCTCCTAAGGTATCTGGTTGTGGTGTTTGTGGTATTTTTGGGAAGCCTATTGATAAATCTAAAAAAACAAGAAAAAATGTCAAACCTAAGTCTTAATAAATATATTTGGTGAAATTATTAATTAATTACCTCTATGTTTTGTTATATATTTATGTGTTTTAGTTTGTTGTGGTAATATATGTACTAAATGTTATATTTTCAGCCAAATGAATGAATCATGGTTTTCTTTTTGGTTTGTAAGATCAGAATTTTGTTGCCTTTTATTTTTTGTCTTGTCTTTTTAAAAAAAAATAAAATGATTGTAGTGTTCGAGTTAGATGGTACGATATTTATTAATTTTCATAATTTCTTAATTTATCGCGCTTTGAATAAGTGTTATACGAATTTTTCTACTAAGAAGACTTTGTTGATGTTGAATGTAAATATGTTTTTTTTTAAAAAAAATATATGTTAATTTAGTTAAATCTTTTTATAACAGTTTTGTTCGTGATGAGATCTTTTAGTGATTAACTGTTATGCACGTATAATAACATTGATATCTAAATTTTATTTAGTTGCTATAGACACAAATTTATTTTGCATAAAATCTATTGTTTTTCCTTTTGTAATAATATAAACAATGGAATTAAAAAATGCATTTTTTTCTAAAATTGTTGTCTGTTTTTTATTTTACTTAATTTTATTTTATGCATAATATAGCAAATTTAGCCATTCTTGAATATTAAAGACAGCTTGAAGGTTCAAGAAAGTTGTGCTTTTCATGGCTTTTTGACTTATTGTTATCCAAGTTGATAATAATTGAAAAATTCCAAAGTTTTATCACCTAAAACAATTACAAGTAGTATTATTTATTGTAGGCCTTTTTTCTTATTTGGTGGAAATAAAAATCAACTATCTCCGTTTTAATTTAATTATCTTATTTTCACTTTGAAATGACGTTTAATTATTGTGATTTTAAATATTGCATTGAAATTAAAAAGTTATTAAAAAAATAAAAGATAATATTTACTCTTTTTAAAACAGACTAAAAATACAATAAAATAAATAAATTAGAACGAAGAGAGCTTTACTATGTCATTGACATTGGAAATTATGTTATATATTAAAATAAACATTAACTATCTCTGTTTTAATTTAATTATTTTATTTTTACTTTGAAATGATGTTTAATTTAATCTTGTGATTTTAAATATTTATTCTTTTTTAAACAGACTATAAATACAGTAAAATAAATAAATTAAAACGATGAGAGTGATTACAATATAATTGACATTGGAAATTATGTTATATTTTAAAAGGATAAAGGAGAAACCAAAGGATGATAGGTTATTGAATTTAATATATTTTTATATAAAAACAGGTCATTTTCTTGATAAATATACAAACCACCCAATTCCCAATTTAAATCCATTAATTTGTTGTCTTGTGTTGGCTGCTATAATCCACATATTTTTATATATTACAACCTGTAAGGGTCTTTTTTTTTTTTTTTGGGTAGAATTGTCCCACTTAAGTAAAAAAAAATTGAAGTGGGGGAGGTTTAGGTTTGAACAACCCCACCTAGTAGTATAGAAATAACCAAAAATTAATTAAGGATTTATGTTATATATAAATAACTTGACTTGAGTATTTATCGAAAATAATATATTTAGCTTTATAAGGTTTTTATATCACTATCGTTGTTACTATAGATTTACATAAAAGATTTGTATATTGTCGATGTAATCTAACTGTTATAAAGATCCAAACTAATTTTCAAGATTCTTGATAATTGTTTATTATAGAAATCATATGTGTGGAACAGATGCCTACGAGTTCAATCAAACCTAATAATTTTGAGTTAGACCAGATTTATGTATGTGATAAATATCTACCAAATGTATGTCAATATTAAATTCAAGACCTAGATTTATGTATGCAATAAATACTATCAAATATATGTCAATATTACATTCGAGACCTAGTAACTCGAGTATTTAGTAGATTTTATTGTATCCAAACTCATTAAGTTTAGATGTTACCTCTATTTATAAATACTTTTATGAATAGTAACTTAATTGTGTCAATATCTTTACCTAGTTGCACAAGGGTAGACGTGATATAAAACTGTCACGATCTATATTTATGGCACGTACTACGTACACAATGCAAATAATATATATATATATATATATATATATATATATATATTATTTAATTTTATTTATTTCACTTTTTAGGAGGATTAGATGTAAGATCTAGAAAGCCAAAAATGATATGGAATCACTTGAATGTTGGCATTAAATAGATAGTGAAAGAAAGTGTATACTAATAAAGACAATATATCAATTTGGAAAATGAAATGATGTTTAAAATCTAGCCACTATTGGTTTGTACTTTAGCCAAAAAGTAATTCTCCCATTTAGT